CCTGCATCAGCTAACGAGGCCCCTCTGCCACCACTCACCCCCACCCCTCCGTACACTCCAGTAGCCCCCAATGGTCTTCCTTGTTTCTTTTTCTCACTCTCACACAATATGATAGCCATCGGCCTGTTTCTGTAAATACACAATCACTGCAGCACACACCCACATGCTACTCCGGGCTCAGATTGGATGGAAGACTCCCTAATTATTCTTTAATTGCCCGTCTCTGTCTGTCCAGCTGCCCCATGTGTATAAAACACAGAGCGGCGGCCTGATTGATCATTCTGGACTCAACATGTTGCGAATTGCACCAAAAGATACGTCTGAGAGGGAGACAGAAAAGAAATCAGTGAGCAGCAATTTGGCAGAAGAAGCAGGATGTGATGCAGATGGACTCTGCTGATTTAGATTTTCATTCCTTATAATTGAGTCCTACCAGACGTCAGCACCACCTAATCGTTCTCAGTGGATTGTTTGTTTTGTAAATTATGGCAAGAATCTTTCACCAAATGCTTCAACTCATAACAGGTCTACATCATTATACAGTAAAATAAAAAGAGGGCTTTGACAGTTGTGGAAGTGAGAGTGGGGTGTTGTAAACCCGTTATGTTTGGCAAATTTGCACCAGTGGTTGAAAAATGTTCTTAATGTGTGATGCAAGAATGAAACACAGATGTTACAATATTTCCTCCTGAGTTGAATAGGATTGTTTTAGTGTGACTTGCATGGCTCAAAATAAACTATTAGCCAATGTGATTTAATAATCAGTGAAGAGGCTTCACATTTGCTCTGGAAAAGGCTATATCTCCCCTTTACCCTCATGAGTTATTGTTACAAAAAGAGTCTTCTTTCCCCTTATTGCATCAATGCTCAAGGTTTTCTGCCAAACCGTTATTTATTTAAATTTTTCTCAATTTATTCTGCTCATGTGACATCAGTAGCAGTCAGAAATACTAAGAGGTAAGGACAAGGTTGTCCAATCTGAGTTCTAACAGATGGCTCAAACACTAGTGAGGAAACTGAAAATGTTCTTTGCTTTCAGGAATGGTGAAATCCACTCTTTAAATCATCTAAAGAAAGCTGCAGTATGAAGTATTACAACTTATTGTCAAAGCTTGTGTGTCGTCTTCTAAATTAAACCATTTTAGTTATTTGTAGTATAATTGCAAAACTTTTTAAAGATTATAATTGAAACAATTTTTTCACTGCTACATGCAGTCATAATTAGACAATGCGCTCTAATTCAGAGTTTTGTCCGATTTCTGATCTGCAACTTTGGATCTTAGATGCTTGAGGTCGAACAGTCTTGGACTTTTCCTTACAGAGGAAAACGTCTCTTCAAAACCTGTAATATAGGTAGATATAGGAAAATAGTACACCATTTTCTAGGTTTTGTGCTTTGACAAACCAAGAATGTGGTGTAAAACAGGGTTTAACTTCTGATTTAAAACGAAGGGGTTCAAGGTTGACATTTGCCCAGGAATTAGCATTTTCCATTTGAAATTTCAGTCTGCACAGCTAGAAAAGAGAAAGCTTACCCTAACTTTGAGATTTCTAATAAAGTTTGAGATGTCCCAAATCTCATTAACATTTAAAAGAATAAAATAGTGCACCTGTGCAGTACTTACTACTGCCTTTGTGCTGACAGCTGAAAGTTTTCTTCTCTCTATAATCTTGAAATGTAGAAAATGCTGTTTCTTTTTATATCACTTCTTCATACTTTCCTATTGTTTTTTAAGTAGCTAATTGTATGTCTTCTTTTTCAATAACACCTTCTTATTGTTTGCACAACCTGGTAGCAACTGGTATGGTTGCTGACCAGAAAAGTTCATTTTTTGTAGCTTCTGCAGACTGAACACCAAACAGGTTTAATCAATTTAAAAAATAATCAGCTAATTCCAGTGAATTTGGTAGATCTCTAATTTTAAAATTGGAAATGTTAATTCATCCCCTCAAAAGAATATTTTTGTTCTCTGAATGTGCTTAAATATGTTTAAAGTGGGAATGCGGCAAAGTTTTAGCCTCTGAAGACCCAACTGGAAGGTTTGCTTGCAGAGAACATGTAAAGTATCAGATGTTGTGCTTCCACAGGCGACTCTTCCACTTCTTATTCTAGGACAGTATGTCCCATTACATCTGGCAAAAACATTTTAAAATGAAAATACACGTTCTAATATAAACTCACTGCCCTTTTACCTTGTGCGTCTTCCTGTTTTTGTCTGATTTCTTTTTACCCCTTGGTGACACTGAAGAGAAAAATAATTCTGCACTCATACAGAACATGAACACAAACCCAATTGTACAGTTTTAACTTAATCAGAAAAGTGTGATGCTAAAACAGAGTTTGAAAACAGCAATCAAAACAAAGTAATGTTGTTTTTAGTTTTCTGGGTGGTCTGATTACCACGCTACCACCCCCAGGCATAGTTTGTTGTAGCATGGGGCTAGCTTAAAAAAGTTTTAGCAAAAGTTGCAGTTATTAGTGCCATAATTACTATAAACCTAAAAGAATTCCAATTACTGTATCTCACCTTGTAAAGGGAAAAACCTCCGACACATGTCCCAGAAGGACTTTAATGTTTTGTGTGCGACAATGTGTATTTTTCCCATGTAGCAGTCAACGGGACGCTTAAACCTTAAGTGCTGTTGAAAAGCTCTGTGCTTCATTTACTCAAACATTCATACATTTGCTTGGCTCCTTTGTTGTTTGTTTTGGCGTAAAAATAGAGAATTCCTTTTATGGCTTTCCCCCCCTTTACAAACATAGGCCATGAGTGTCAGTTTGCAAAACCAGTCATCTTGAGATTGAATAATTTTATGAGGAGGAGTGGAAAAAGAAGAGAAGCAGGATTAAAATAGAGACAAGGGAAGTGAAAAAGTAACCGAGCAAAGTAAGTGAGAGGGTAAAATGTTGGACAGAGACGTGAGATCTTTTTATCAAATGTCAGCACTTCACTGATCTTTGACCTCTTAGTGGTTTGTGGGGTTGTGGTGAATCGCAGTATCTGACCACAGTGGAACGACGCAAAGCTAAAATAGTGCTTAATTTTGACAGCACACCCTATTGTCGTCTTCCAATTTTTTGTTTTTGTTTTTTTTACTCCAGGGGGTTTTGTGGACTCTAGTGTCCCTTATATGAAAGTAGGCTGACAGGAAAGGGGTAAGGAGAGCGGGGAAGACATGCGGCAAATATCGTCGGGTCCGGGAATCGAACGTTTGGAGACTCAAGGCCTCCAAACGTGGGTCACGTTACCTCCTATGCCACCACAGCACGCCAACCTCCAAAATTTTTTAATGCGCCGTGTCTTACCTTCTTTTTTAAGACTGATAACAAGACATCCATCACTTAGCTCCTCTCATCTCTCTGCAGACATTTTATAAAAACTCTTTCATCCTCTCCTTCTCCTTCTCTCTGCCTCCTTAATAAAACTAGCCTGTCAAACCGCTACGGTTCCCAGAAGTCTATATTCTCTCCACTCTTGGCAGATTTTCACAACAAATAAATTATTCAGTCATGGATTTTGTAGTCTAGAAATTGATGGTATGATTAATTTATGTGATCATACAGAATATTGGGTCTGTGTATTTCATTAGCCATATGCATGCCTGCAGTTTAAATATTAACTTCAGTTTATATATAAGGGTGTTTTTGAAGCATTTCTAATTATCTTCTTTGGTTCAATGCTTTGTTTTAGCACAAGCATGGCTCAGTTGTTAAAAAAAACTTTAGTCTATTTACCGACATGTTGAATAAATCTGGCATAAGTTATACTGACAGGCCCGGAAAGTGCATGCCTAAATTGGGAATGACAAAGACTGGTCATGTTTATCAACGGATTTCTAACTCAATATAGCATGATAACTATATTAACCTTTTATAGTACTGTCTTTTTTTCTACAACTTTTTGTCATTTTGATTGAAAGCATTTGGAAATTAGAGATTGTATTTGCAGAAATTGAGCTCCTTTGCTTCCCCCAGCTCTCGATCCTGTTTCTCAGCAGCTCATATTGTAATTCAGTCTTGGGGAATAAGTTGTCTGTCCCTGGAGAAAGTAGCCCAGGCCCATTTTGTTCCTCAGCTGCATAGTCTTGCATGGGAATCTGGGACACTGGGTGCATCCTAATGTCTGTTGAAATGGGAGCACACCAGTCCCAAGGGCTGCACTGCTTCTCCTGTGGTACCTTAACAATGCGGATGTGCTGCTCCTGCATTAAAGAACAGCTGTGGTCCTAATAGTCAGTTTCCAGAACCAATTCAAGAATGATTACATATTTCAAAGATTTTGGACCTCCTGACATTATCTTTCCACCAGAAAGATTTACCTATATTTCTTTCTTTGTCTCTTACATTCTTGCTTAGGATTCTTGCTGTGCTTAGGATTCCAGATGTGTTGAAAGAATATTTTTATGGAGACTGAAATGAAATTCATTTTTTAAAAACAAGGCAATACCATTCCCTATTTTTACTAAACCATTCGGCTACATCTTAACAAAGTGAATTGAGTGAGACACTGCACTCTTTAAAAATATACATTTTATGCCCCCTAAAAACCTGAATTATCTCCAAATTAAGGTTTGGGAGACTTTGGAGTTAATGGTGGGTTTTGGAACATTTTTCTGCTACTTACCTAGGTACTTAAGCTGAAAGCCAGTTTTTGATATTCCCCTTTAGGATTTGCATGTAGACAGCAGAATGCCTGGTTCAATCAATTGCAGCAAGTCACAAAGCAGCTCCAAACACCACAACGTTCTCACCATGTTTTTTTTTTTCTAAATCTTAAATATCATGTCTTTATTAGCTGTAATCAGAGATCATCATAGTAGCAAAATAAATGCAAGAAAACTGTATTCTGTGTGTAATTAATTCACATACTGTTTCTTTCTTAGTGAATTGAGTTACAGAAATAAAATAATTTCAATAATATTCCGATGTATTAAATAGGTCTGTATAAACAAGATGACACGTATAATGACCGTTTTTGCTTTTGCTTGTTGTTTTCCAGTTTGCTCTGGCACTATAACTGTGAAGGTGACTCCGAAGGTGGAGGTGGACGGCGGAACAACAGCCAAACTGCCCTGTGCATATTCTGGCACGACCTTGCCAGATGTTGTTGTTGGTTGGCACTTTGTAAGTATATTATATACCGTGTCAAAATATTTACACACAAGAAGCATTTTTACATTGAAGCTCTTAAAGTACAAAGTGCACTGTCAGAGATTCTGCAATTTTTTTTGTTTTGTTTTCTTTAAATCTTTTTTTAGGAGTCTGATAATCAAAGAGTAAGAGTGGCCTATCGTAAAAATTCTGGCGAGCGACTGAGCGACACCGGTACTCCTCTGGACGGTCGAGCCACTCTCGAAGAAGATCTCACCTTGACCATCAAGTCTGTGAAACCCTCTGATCCAAACAAATACTACTGCCAGGTCACTGCTGGAAAGGACGGGTCTGGAGAAGGCGAAACTATTCTTGAAGTGTTTGGTACGTAGACTAGTTCTCTTTAACACATCAAACTTTCCTACTGAACTTCAAAAGTAATTAATGATGAGTTTTTTGTGTCACCTTCAAAAAGGTTTCAAAATTGTGAGATTCATGTGAGTGTCCATTTGTGCTTGCCACACCTAATGCATATTGAATTGATTTGAGACATAGATACATTTACACTTAAGTCTCTGAAATAAGATGTAGTGAGATTTGTTGCAATAGTCCAGGCCTTTCAAGTACCAAAACATTTTGTTTGTGTTATAATTTTAGGCTTTCTCTGATCCCAAATTCCTTTGACAAGTTCCCCAGAGGTCAATTAACCACAATTTAATGGCACTAGGCATAATTTATGAATAGTTCAATCATATTTGTCACGTCTCATATATCTCTTCCTAATAAGAGTCAAGATTTATCACCGTCATGCAAAGGCCTGACCCTGGTGCAGAGTGAGGTTTTCTTGCCCCTCCCTTACATGTAATCTTAAGTAAGAAGCACTTACTTGTGACTTGTATTGGACTTTCAGTTATTCTTCAAAGGAAATGTATTTTATTTTTCTTTGTTTTCAAAGACTGAAAAACAAACATATGGTCATGTAGCATCTAAAAATGCAATGACTATGAATTATTCGTTTGCATGCATGTTATCACAATAACTGGACATTTCTGCTAAATAATATCTGAAATGCAAACCAGCAATTACTTTGTGAAACAGCATCAGGTATGAGATTCAAAGAGTAACTTTGTCAGTGTATAATAGTTATTAGTCAAAAATGCTATAATAGCACAACACATTGTAACATAAAAACATGATGAATTATGTAATATTGATTATTATGCTTTATGATAAAAATCACAGGCATAATATGGCAACAATGATGTAATAGCACTTATTTATTGTTTACGCTCATACCCAGGATGTATGAGAGCCAATCTAATGCCAATATCTGCATAAATCTCAAAGTAATCCTTTTATGCTTAAATGTGTAACTTTGTTTACTGCATAGCTACCAAATCTGAACACAGACAACAGAAAAGAAGTAGTAAGAGGAGCACAACAGAAATCAGAACATCAAACTTTTGCTTAAAGATCTTGGCTTTATTGTGGTGCGGTAGATGAAAAATAATTGTCTCAAAAGCCACTTTATCCAACAAAATCACTCTGTAACAGCGCAAAATTTTATTTGAATTTTAGAGAGTGAGAGAAGTCTCTACAGTTCTTGATTTCAAACAGATTTTAAACATTTCCAATCAAACTATATTTTTGTAAACAAAGGAATAGTGTGTTTTCCATTGCCTCAGGACAATGGGACAGTGGGAGACAATGCTGCATTTCTGTACTCGACACATCTGGAGAAAACATCAGCCGCTCCTCTGGCATTTTATGAAAAAGTCTTTAAGCCATCGGAATTACTTAAAAATCCTACTTTTTGAAAATTTGAATACCATAATAATTGGTTACCAACTTTTAACTTCATTTAATTTTCACTTATTTATGTTGTTTTTCTCCTTCTCTGGCCAAGTTTTCATAAATTACAATTACCCACAGAAAGCCAAATAGTTTTTTTGAAAACATTACTTTATATGTGGGAGGGAAGAGGAGATAAATCTAGTTACACTGCTATTGTCCAGAATATAAACGGTTCTCAAGGGAATTTGGAACTGTGTTACAAAAGAAAAACAACTCTCAGTTTCCCATTCCCTTGGCCTGCCAGTACTTTTGGAGAGTCCTTGAGAGGGTAGAGGTCCTTCACCATGGAGCTATGAAGGACAGAAACTCCATCAGGAGGGTTTAATCTCCAGGAGAAAAAAAAAGCCCCTTTCTCTCTAAACACAGAAACCCACCAGTGGGTCAGGTATGATGGACAAGGAGGGAATTGAAAATTATAGATCTCAGTGAATGTTTAAGAAAAAGAAATACCCATCTACTGTTTATTTTCATGCACAGTCGACAGCTGCAGGAGGAGATAAAATTACCTTGGACAAGTCAGCTTGGGAATAAAGCAGAGAAACAAATGGGAGAGCTCACACCTGTGGCTGAATGTGTGTGTTTGTGTTGAGTAGGAAGTGGGAGTTTCTCCCCCGTCTGACCCTTATCTACGCAGATGAACCCGGTCAGCAAAGAAATACTATGAGCAAGGTTATTTACTACTAGATTTAATTAACAAGGTCAGAGGGTGTGTGCTTTGAAATACAAATGTGGAAAGTCAGCGATTGTGAGTACTTGTATATCACATCTAAAACCCCCTTTCTCTTGATGAAGGGTAATGATTAATAGTTGTTTTATTTTCCATCTCAGTTGCTCCCGAGACACCAGAAATCAAAAAACCATCTGAGGCCATCTCAGTGGGGAGACTGGACAGCTCAGAGGTTTGTATTTCATTTCCTTATTTTATTTTCTCTAAAGTTTTTATATTTAGATTTTATGTATGTATGAAACCCCAGTAAAATCCCTTATTTGGCCAATTAGGCTGATTCTAATTTTAATTTTTGTTGGATTCTAAAATTTTATTTAGATGCACCCATTATTGGAAATGCTAAAACAAATTTGATCGGTGTGACTCCAGAAGCCCCAAAACAATCAAACAGCTTCATACAGTGCTGAAAATTTTCATAAAACTTTTATGTTACAAATCAATGTTGTTGTTTTTTTTTATTTTCCTGGTGAGTAAACTTATTTTTTTGTCTTTGTTTTGAGACAGTGGCCATTATTAGAGTTGATGTCACAAAATGGCTTAAAGACAACAAAAGCAATGCTTTGACATGGCCATTTTAAAGTCTAATTTAAGGCTAGAGGAAAATTTGCAGGTAGTATCATCTCACTGATATTGAAAATATCTATTTTCTTCCTACAGTAACAACTTCAACTGTAAAGAGTGTTGTCAGTGCAACACCTTAGTGATAGGGTGTGATGCACTCTCAGATTGAAAATGCGATCAGATTTCACCGCTCGGAGATAGACAAGATAAAAAACTTCCAAATCCTTTCAGCAAATAGTTTCTCTGTGCATCCCTAGTTTCTTTTCATCTGATATCACTTGTAATTTGTGTTTTCTCAATTTTGAATCAGGTCGGCACTTGCATAGCAACCAATGGATTCCCCTCTCCAAGGATCATTTGGTTCAAAGACAACCAGCCTCTTCCTGAGGTCAAAGACAAAAAAGAAAGTATGTGTCCTCTGGATGATGGAGCTTGATACTGTTTTGGCATTAATGTCATGATTAACGGTTTTACTAATTTTTGTCAGAGACCCACATGGTTCTTTCTACGGTGAAGGAGACTTCGGGTCTTTACACCATAAAGAACACACTGTACATGGAGCCCACGAAAGCTGACAAGGACTCTACGCTTCATTGTACTGTGGAGTACAGCCTGGCGGGAGAGAAGAACAAAAACATCCAGAAGAAGTCTGAACCCATGAAAATTGAACTTTACTGTGAGTGAAAATCAGTTGAATGGGGGTTTTGTTTGATGTTTTTTTAATAGACACATTTTCACCAAATTTAGATTTACTAGTTAACGTTACATGACTGCATTTGGATGGTCACAGGAATCGGAAACTTTGAACACTCATTTTGCCTCAGACAGAACATGTAAGCAGCACATAACAAAACAATTTCCAACAAAGATTATGTTGCTATATAGCAACATAATATGAGTAGGATGATAAAAAATGCTTAATTGAAAACAAAATATTCTAATTCATAACTCATTATTTTTAGCATGCCTGGTTCTCCGTGAGTTTCAGACAAAATAGCTGAAGCTCCAGTCAGAATGGAGAACAATACATTTGAAGTCTTGCCTTAGATTTTTAGATTTCAGTGTGTATGTTCACTGAACTGTTGTAAGACATAACTCTTATCGTACAGCCAGTACGATAAGAAGCATTTGTTGCTGCTTTTAGCCAAACCTCCACCCTAGTCTCAAGGCCTTTGCAATGTCTTATAGGCTGTCCTCCATCTTAGGCCTGGGCAAATGATGGACAACAGGAGTGGACGAAAATTGTCTTTTTAGTAAATTGTGTCACCTGCAAAAGCAGCCATCAACTGGTTAATTTCGAGCATGCCATGCCTTCCCTCTGCTAAGTAGGGTTTATGACTATTCTGATTCCATTTTCATTGGTTTAATCACCATGCTATTTCTATAACTGTCTGACCTCTAACCTGAGGGTTAAAAATCACATAAAAGCCTGTTCAAGTATTTGAACAGGCTTTTACTGATGATAAAAGCTGTTACAGATGATATTTATCTCAGCTCCAGTGGTTGTAGTTTTGTAATGTAATGTCATACTCATCATTTATGTGAAGTATAACTGAAACTTTAACCACTGATTGAATTTTCACCTGTTCCACATCTGCTCTTGTCATCATCCAGATCCTTTTGAAAAAATTATGTTTAAGCTTTTCAACCCTGCTGTGGTCAAAGAGGGTGATAATGTCACCCTAAAATGTGAAACTGATGGAAACCCGCAGCCTTCTTCGTTTGACTTTTCAAAAAATGTATGTAAACACATCAAGATTATCAATCTTTCACATAAAACTAACATCACATTTACCTGGCTTCATCACTCAGGTATTAAATCTGTGAATCCGTTTCCAGGGAAATGTACTTCCTGGTGTGGGCGGTTCTCTGATACTGAAGAATGTCAAGCGTACGGATTCTGGAACATACCTGTGCTCTGTATTGGACATCGACACGTATATTGAGAAGACAAACAGCACGGTCCTTAATGTCAACTGTGAGTGAGACACATACACAAATGCACATCAAAGTACAATACATAAGAAATAATTTCAACCTAACAGTGAATCATTCTTTTGAGATTTTTCTTTTCACATTTGAGTCGTGAATCCTTAAATTAAAAAGCCTTGCATGGAATTAGTGATAGTAAATTCCTTTCAGGGTTTCAAAGTCTGCTTCACTTCTTCACAGCTCATCTACTTTAATGCTATCTTCACCACAGTGTCTAATTTGATCTTATCACACACATTAAGCGTTGATAGCCTTGAAAAATTCTTAACTCTGGCTTCAGAAATGGACTAAATTAAGAGTAAGTTTAAGATTCAATACTCTGTTATGTACTGTAATTTCTGGAGTCTTATTACATGGATGTTAAATGGATGAGCAGGTTTTTTATTTTACATTTTTTTCCTTACCCGCTCTGTAACAAGCCTCTAGTTAAAAGGTGTCTCAAATCCATGTTGCTCACCATCTGTTTGTTTTTTCTTTTCTTTAGACATTGACGAGATGAGCGTCACTCCCACTGGAAATCAGATTATCGATCTGGGAAAGCAGGTTCAGTGGCAGTGTAAGACCAAGGCGTCTAAAAATCACACTGTGTTGTGGAAAAAGGTACATTAAGACTTAACCATCTTTCTTATTGGTATAAGAATCCAGCTAGACTTTTTATGACTCTGATTTTTAATAGTCAAAATAGAAAGAGGATGGTGTAAAGCTGCTGTGGGAATTAGTCCTCAGCACAGCCTTCAATACTATTTGCTTCGTGTTTTTCTTTTTATACCCTTTCACATTATTTTTCTCAGATATAATAAGCCTAAGCTGATAATACATGAAACAAGACAATAACTTTGTTAGTTTTTTTTTCACCTTACTTATATTCTTCAAAACAGAGAAAAAGTAAAAGCAAAAAAAAAAAAAAATTTAAAGCAAATTTTCATGCCCATTGACATACAATTTTGCATTTTCATTATTCAAACAAACTTATTTAAACTTCAAAGTTATTTTGGTTTCATGTTAAATAACTTACAAGGTAGTTTTTTATCTCAGATCATACTTGAGTTTTGGTCAGTACTTTAAAAACTGTTATGACCAGAGATAATTTCTCTATGTTTGCATAGAATGACATTCCACAACATATAGCCTCCGTCTTAACATTATTTAAAACGACTCATGCACATCATTTGCTACACATCATTGTTTGCGATCACCGTTCTTTTGTAAATTGGTATCTCTTTCATTGTGTTATTGTGACGTTATGTTGCATATCTTTGTGTTTTCTGTGGACAGTAATCTGGTCTAAAACAGAAATTATGCTGAGCCTTTCATTTAATCTTCCCCTGCTTAAAAATCAAGTAAATAAATAAATAGGTATCTTTAGATTTTATGTCCTTGACTCAGTCATGTCAGTTTTTTTCTCAAATCATACTAATTTTGTTCAGTAATTATTTCCTGTGACTAACTTATTAAATTAATATTAGCTCTTTCTTTCACAATTTGAAGCATTTCTATGCGTTCTATTATTATAAAACCACATACTATCATTCTTTAATGTTTTGCTATTTATCGTAGCTTCTCCTCTTATGTGTGTGGTGCTGCTGCAGCATTAGGCCTGTTTTCTAGTCTTATCATCTGTTGTTGTGTCTTGTGGGTATGGTAGAAACTGTGTTGGGAATATGTTGTTCTGAGTTCGAAGGATTCCTATGAGAAGAAGAGGCGAAGAATTGCAAACGAAAGGTTTATCACCGAGGATGATCTGTTATCACTGCACTGTCAAACAGTGTGTGTGTAGATCGCTCCCCTGCTTTCCCAGCACACCACCAAACCCTCTGTCTAGATATTCTCTGTGCTGTTCTGGTTTCAACTTTAAACAGAGGGACCATAAAGAAAGTATGAAAGGGGTGATACTGTGAATCCAAACGGTTTTATTACAGCATTTCTCTCTTCCTCAGGGCTCCACTGTGCTTTCTCAAAATGGCATTCTATCAATTGCAAGTGTTGCCTATGAGCACGCTGGAGAGTACATGTGTGTTGGTGCTGTTCCAGAAGTCCCGGGACTGACAGCTCGGACCAGTGTAAAGCTGAACGTGAGAGGTAACACACTCAGATCATTTCTTAATATTCTTCCAAATCTTGTACATCCAATCTAAAAGTAAGAGAAAAAAGTAAATTTTATTCACTCTGTCTTTAAAAACGTTTTAAGAGAAGCTGATGGACATGTACTTTCGTATTTATCTATTTATCAATATAAATAAACAAACCAGAGAGGGAGAAGAATAATCTTATTGACCTTATGCAGAGTTGGACCAGCAATTTCAGAGTTTTATTTCTTTATGTCAGCTCTTTCTTCATGACATCAGAATACAGCAATACTCACATTGTCGCACTTTATACCTCATGTCTCTCTATTCATGTGCCACACATTCCTACATTTTAACCAAACACTAAGATACGAGAACTGTTCAGCTAGAGGCTCACTATCATTGTGCATTCTTTCTTTGTTCCTTCACAAAGAAGGAACAAAGTATATTGGAGTTTGTGGTTTATAATGATGATGTCAATAAAATGTTTTTATCACATTTGGTGTTCAACAGATCTAAAAAAAACAAAAAACTATACAGTCATTTAATCAAGTTTAAATAACCGAAGTATACCCTATTGTTGGAGAATAGTAGTGAACAATGCTGATGTTTCAGTTGAAGGAAGCCTGTTGTATGTTTGACGGAAACGCTGTAGAGGAAGCGTTGCTAACTTCCTGTCATTCGTTAAATCTCAAAATTCAACAGTGTGTGCTCGGTTTGAAACATTCCTTTATTGTTTGCATTGTTCAATGATAACTTTCTCTCACCCTCCACAGGAAAACCAGAGATTGAGACCCCTGTTGTAGGGGAGGTGGCAAAAGAAGGCGATGAAGTGACTCTGAAGTGTTCGGCCAACGGTTTTCCCAAACCTCAGTTTATATGGTCAGCCTCAGGAAAGGAGGTAACCACTTAAAAAAAAAAAAACAGATGCAAAATTAATCAGCTGTTCATCCTTTGTATCTACATTCTGTTGTATCACTTAAAAATTTGAAAACAGCAGGTTTCCTGGAAGACATATGTTTCCATTTGTGTCAGAATGGAATTAAATTTTTTTTATAACATTATCACATTTTCATGTTTGATTCTTCTAAAAAAGCTCAGATAACAAAGAACTCAGTGAATATTCCCCAAGAAGCAGCAAAAACATTTGGACAGGGAGTTTGGCTTTACTAAGTATCATAAGATTAAATTTTAAAGAACATTCTGAAAAACTGGTTGATTTTAGATGAAAATAATGATGCATATTAGATCAAAGTTAGGAGAACCTTTAACTTGCTCGAGTGATGATTTGTAAGAGCATAGTGAAAATGAAGAAATCACACTTTGACAATAATTACAAAACATAACAAGCAGGACTTAGTTTTACATCAAGTCTTGATCAGAGGTTCTTAAATGTATTATAACAAATATAACTTACCCTTAAGCCACTGATATCCACAGGAAGCCCTCGAGGGCCGATGTCATTCATGTATTTGATGTTTCCCTGGCTCAGGGAAATGTACTATTAATTCAATATAAACTTAATTCAAACTTGATCTGACCAGATGAGACGGTCTGCTATATATATATATATATATATTTATTTACAAATTTTTTTGCTGACATATTAATCACACGCATTGATGTATTAAGACTTATATAATAATTATTTAGTGACCATGTTTGAAAATAAGAATAAAATGCAGAAAAACATAATAGTTGCTTTTACCATTAATACTGGCATTATTTATATCACTAAACAATTATTACATGTTTTTTAACCTGGAAATGAAATGAGGTTAAGTTTTACTTCATATCATTCCCAGATTCAGGTTTCAACAGCAGCATAAGTAGCCATTAGCACTTGTTTCTGGTTGTCTGTGTCAATTGCATCCCAGTTATTATTTACCTTCCAAATAATTAATTACAAAATTTCCTCTGAGTACATTTAAAACCAGCCCAAGTACCAACACTGGGATCATAGTTTGGGAACCTTGGGGCTTGTTAAACCAATTCATTTAAGTTTTAATAGTACATTTCCTCTCACTGCTTTCTTTCTTCCACTTTTTTTTTACCAGTCCATCACAGTGGAAGAGAACAAAGTGGTAAGCTCTCTGACCCTAAAAACCACACCTGAGATCATGAAGAGCGGTGTGAAGTGCGAGGTCTCCAACGAGTTTGGAAAAGATAGCAAGGACTTCTCTGTAGCTATCAAACGAGGTCAGTGTGAAGATTGTCTTTCCCTCTTTCAACACAAATTATTTTATAAGATAAAACTACCAAGATATTCTTACACTTACCATACATTTACTGCAATCTCAGAGAACAGAGTGTGCTTTTTCAGTAGATTACTTTTTACAGTACCACAAATTCACTGTGGATGGAAAAGTAGCAGGAAATTCTAAGCACTGCTATAAATGACTGACACTTCATTAGGGTCAGACTCTCTTATGCTATCTCGGGTTGCCACATTCCATGTAGAAAAGTAAAGAAGAAGTAACAGTTTATTTGTCGGGTTGTGAAAAATATTGTCATGACACAGACATAAACATGACATAACACCTGACATGAACATGAAAAAGTCTTTATGAATATTTCTGACTGTTGTCATAAAGTGTCACTTGGTAAAACATGACACTTTTAATACAAAGTTGAAATTATTCAAAATGTCTTTGTTATGTCAACTTTGTATTAAAAGTGTCATGATTTACCAAATGACACTTTATTTACTCAAGTTTGTATTCAAGTTAAATTGATCTGAAGCATAAGTATAAAAACAGAATATTTACTACTGAGTTAACTAAACTGCATATTCTTGCTGTTTGTTCTGCTTCTTTTCATGTGAGAGTGTCTGTAACATGTGCAAACGTTAACAGATTCTGTATTAATCCAGAACCTATGCCAGAGTGGCTTCGCAGCTTAGCTTCTTTCCTCCACTACATCACTTCTGACATTTGTGTATCTATAATCCAGCAAGGTATCACAAAGTTGGGAGTTGATTTACTAACAGTTGTCGCCACCTAATTGTAGCCGGCCATGTTGCAGCGACATAAGTCCGAATCTTTCTTCTGTTTCTTGTTCTCTCTTGCAGCAAACACAGCTGAAGGTAGAGCCTTCTCCCTCCTTCTCCTCCTCTCCTCACTTCTTCTCTCAGGACTCTTTGTTGTACAGACCCTGTAATCTAGAAACCTCCCATCCATCCATCTTCTCTTGCCCCAGCCCCTCCCATCTTTCGCAAACACACACACATGCACATTCAGAATACACATCTTCCTCTGTCGTACTGTAATCTTGTATATTTGCCCTCTTGCTACCGAACACTGTGGATATTGTATATTGTTCTTCTTCTTCTCTTGTCACCTTTGTATGATGTCTGTCCAATATTTCCTGGATGCAACTAAGATTTTCTGGCCCTTTGGGGACAATAAAGAATTTTATTCTATTCTATTCCTTCCATTCCTCTCTTTGTTTCCTGACTGTGTCTTTTAGCCACCCCTTTTTCCAACTGCACTTCTATTTTCTGCTTTTCTCCTTTTCCTGCTGCTGTATGTAGTTAGAGTAGCTTTGGCTTTTTTGTGCGAATGCTATCAGTGGTGTGTATGTGTCATTTTTGGTTGTTGCTTTGCTATGCAATGGGACTGAAAACTCTCTTTCTTTCAAAGTGCTGCTCTCTGGAAACCCTGTGCTTACGTCAGGTCTGTATGGCTAACCCTACTGACATGTCGTGTCTATGGTGTTTGTCTAGAGCTGCAAGTTACTGTGTGTGTATTAATGTCTGTTTACACACACAGGTTAATGTATTTATGTTTAGAGCAGTTCATGTTTTTGTGTATCTGTAGCCTATTTGTTTTACTATAGTTGCGAGGACAAAAGAAATGGGACATTATAAGAAGGATAAGTAACTCTTTGGTTGTACAATGTACAGCCTAAAGTTTTCTTTGACTTTTTGTCATTTAGTTTTTTACTATTTAGTCATGCAGTCAAATAATTATTTCATCTGAAATTTCCTTACTGCAAATACAGAAATATAATTAATATAATTATATTTAAAATGTTTAAATTAATTAATATAATTAATTTAAATTTTTTTCAATATTTCATGTCATTTAACAACACACTTTATTCGTATTATAATATAAAGGTTAAATAAAGTGGTATAAAATCCTGTGCATAACAAAATAAGCCTGGAAATTGTCATCCACATTTTATTGGCATACCTGACAAAGACGCACAAAGGGATTTTGTCATTTATCAAAATCTTCTGTGGTTGTAGCATGACCTCAAATTGAAAAACTTGTGCAGAATTAGCATCGGTTTTGACACTTCTAACAATTCCTTTAATATAAGCATATCAAAGTGTCTGGGAACTTATACTTAGTAATACATGCCTTATTATTTCCCTGTCGTATAAAAACAATATGACAGAAGCACATTTCTCGTATTCAGTCTTTAGAATGGGAAAGACAAGAAAACATGCCATTAGTTCAAGTCAGATTTATTCTCATAAGTCAGGAAATAAATACAAAAAAATGCAAATACCTTTCACTAAACAATATCTGCCGTGTGAACAACAATTTGCCCCTTGTGAATCAAGGCTGGACGGGGTGCAGTTTTCATCTCACAACCAAGAGGTGGGTGGAAAATATGGAAACTCTAATCTTCAAATGGGACAATTAGAGAATTGAAACAGGTGATTATCCTGCTGCATTGTCTGACACTTAAATAAAATGTTTTAGACTATATTATTTTTAATACAAAAGATTCACAGTAAATCAATCTGGATTTTGGAAAATGTTGTTTTCCAACTATATATATACACATATATATATACTTAAAAGTACATTTCCACTGCTGGAACTTTTACAAGGAATCTGCATTTCCCTTTGCTGCTTTTTTTAACCATAATTTACACTGAACCAGGACTGAATCTGTTTCAAGGAGTAGAAATTTATTTCAAAAAAGTTTCCAGAAGATAGTTGGTACTTAAGGAAGGAATCTTAAGAATAGTTGAGATTTTGATATGAGAGATTCCTAAAACTTCCTTGCTGGTTAAATTTCCTATCATGATGTTTCAGTCCTCTCCCAGTTAGATTCCTTCAAAAATCACAACCTCCAGTTCTAATTGTGTCCTTATTGAGTCTTGTAGATGTGATACGTATGCTTTAATTAATGTTTATGATTGCGGAAAACTTTCCGAGCATTGAAATAGAAGTGTAGAAAGAATGAAATATTCAATGAAATATTCAATTTATGAATATTGCAATGAATATTCAATTTATGACTTTGTTATGTACGGTTATAATGCCAGTTTATAGAGCTCCTCTTGCTTCTAAATGAGTGAATTCCTCAAAATTTGTTAAATGTGTGCCTTTTCTAAAAATTTGAAGAAACTCTTCATAAGCAATAAAGTGATCGCTATGGAAGAAAAAGTCTAGTTTTATTGCTGTATTAATCTGACTTCCCTGTTTTCAATGACATTCTTACCTAAATAGCCTGGTTTTGGATCCCACAGTGGAAATGCACATGGTTTATTGCAAGAGTAAAATAAAAGATGCTGGGAAATTATGTTTCCTTTAATAAAATGTTTTAGACTGGCAAGTTGAAAAACAGTTTACGGTCCGCTTATGATTATTGCTTTTAATTAAGACTTTTTCCAGAAATAAGTCCCTAAATTGACAACTGTCTTGTAGCTGTATTCTTTGCCATTTTTTGTTTGTTAAAAGTAACTTCATTAGTTCAGACTTTACAACAGATTTGATTCATCTCACAGCAATCCACAATTCCACTAACTTGGTTTGGTGTTAAGGGAAAGTTGTAAAAAACATTCTGAAGGTAGGACTGTCTCTACGAAAGCCCTCAGAATCTAATAAAGAGTTTAATAATGTTTCACAACCAGAAGCAGAAATTTAGCTAGAGTCTTGTGTTTAATGTGTGGTTGCCAGGCAAACAGATGAGATGCCAGAATGTCAGCACCGCAAGCCAAGAACGGTCCATCATCAAACCTCCTATAAAACTGCTCCATAAAAGAAAGCACGTTTCTTCATTTACCAGGAGAAAAATCTAAAAGCAGCTTTAATAGCCTTAAAATCCCATCAGTCAGTTAAAAAAACACGTCTGTCCTGCCATGTCATGTCTTGTCCTCAAAATTATAGTAATACAAGTGTGAGCCGATGGGTGAGTATGTTCAGTGTTGTTTTCTGGCTCTGGTCAGTTGTGTGTTTTCTCCTTGAGGAACCTGGCCCTGTGTTTGGGTCCCATCACATTTCAATCATTGCATTCAGAAGTTAGTCTAACTCCACATCCCAATCCCCACTCCTTATTATCTCCTCCCTCCCACCCATCCACCTATTAACTGTCTTCACCTGGATCCCATCAACCCCCATCCTTTCCCTTTTTAATCCTTCCCAAATCAAATCAACCCCCCCTCACCAATCCTTCCCTATCCCCCCATCAACTCACAAATCAAACACTCCCCACACTTCTTCTCTCCCCCTTCAAATCAAAAACTCCCCTCTTTTCCATCCCCACTCCCCCACCTCTTCACTTTGATCATCCCTGCCTTTCCCCCGCTCCTTTAAATCTGCTCCCCACTGACCCACCTCCCACCAACCCCACCATCCTCCTTCCCCTCCATCATTCCCTCCATTGAGGCACTGTAGCTGAGAAGCAGCAGGAAGGCTCCAGCGCTGTGGTGATTGCCGTGGTGGTCTGCGTTCTTCTTCTTCTGCTGCTGGTAGCTCTCTTCTACTGCCTGAGCAAGAAGACCACGATTTGCGGCAAGAAAGATAAGAAGGAAGCGTGAGTAGATGAAACGAAGAGACAGATGGCATAAACTCTGACAGTAATTAGCTCATGTTTTGTCTGCCTTTTGAGAAAAATAAACAGCACAGTCTTCTGTCATTGGTTAGATAAACAAGTAAACCAGTTGCATCAAATATGTCATTTCTGTAATTGTTGATTCGTACTCAGTGATTTTCCTTTTGCTTTGTATTTTCTTTTCAGGGCTACTGCACAGGTGAACAACATTGTGGTGGAGATGAAGACGGAAAAGGCCAACGAAGAGGCTGGACTCCTCAACAAAAAGATCAACACGAACAGGTTAGAACAGGCTGAAACTCCAGTTCTCTAGACTCACAGGTCTGTTATTCAGGGCCAGCTACCCACAGTGGTAAAAAGATTATAAATAAGGTATAAGATCTCTTCTTGGAAGAGCAGCAACAACAACTCTTTAAAGTATTTTGGTGCTAAGCCGTTCAGTGATTTAGAAACTAACAAAAGTATTTGAAGGTCTATTCTCTAAGGGAATAGCCAGGGTAAGGGGTTTGCTTAATTGTTAATGGGGCAGTGACTTTGCATTAAGTTCTTGAATAATAACAAATTATGACAATTGTCTCCAAATTCATCAACTTTACAGCAAATGAGTGAAACTTGGCATAACTTGGTGTTCGATCAGGACAAACACAAATCAGACTTAAAACTCAATTAAATGCCCAAAACTATTATAGAATTAAAGCTAAGGTGATTGTGTAACTGAATGAAAGTGTTTGCATTTTCAGTTAATTCATTCATAATTTTGTATCTTGTAGCCTTTGACAAATCTTGATTTTTTATTTATGTTGAATGGAACATCTGTGGAGCCCCTAAATGGACATTGAAGGGAAAAAAAATGAAAAGACAAACAAAAACTTTCTCATGTGCATAAGAGTGTTTTGTTTGTTTGTTTGTTTTCTTCAGTGTTCCTTGGTGGGGTCCATAGACATGAAAAAAGAGAGATGATTTTTTTTTTAAACACTAATAATAAATATCAGAGTATAAAGAATTTTTTTTTTCATTTAGTCTGGTACTGTCAGACATATTTCTAATAATGTTATGTTTTACTTGTATTTTTCTTTTTTTTCAGTAATCAACCCAGATGATTGAATAACTCTGAGGGACGAAGGACAGAAGATGACAGTTTGAGGACAGCAGGACTTTTTTGGTTTCTGATTCATGATTGTGAAGGAGATAACCAGGGTGGTGCTGGGGATGGGTGCATGTTCATAGCTTCAAGGATCACCATGATTAACTTTGGCTATGCTTGTTTTCCGACCTGGGTGAGAGGAGCTGGGTGGGGATTTTTTCCTTTCTTGCTCAATAAAATTGTTAAAAAAAACTCCATCTAACTCACAGCATCAAACAATTCACACAAAAATAAATTACTTCACTGGATAACATGATTTTTATGTTTGTTGCAATCAAATCATTTCATTAACCCATTGTGTCTTGTTCTGTTTTGTGTCTTAATTCATTGATTAAGCAGTTAGCTTTTCTGTTTTGTAATTTGTGTTTAATTTGTTTTCTGTCTGCTGGGGATACTTGGAAAACTAATCTATTATCTCACTAACTTCTGTAGTGAATTTCCTCTCACATAAGGTTATCCTTCAAGCAAACCGTTTGTTAAATCTTTGCTTCAGAGTCTGTATTTGATTTGCTGGTGTTTTACATTATTGTTGCCAGCTGCTTATGTTTTGCATAAATTTCTTTTCAAAATCCATCATTTTAATAGAATCAGGCCAGGTACTTAATCACTCTCTTTAGAATCCCGTATGGTGTCAAATTCAGTTTGAAAAAGCACCAGATAAGCCAGCATTTTGGTTGTAAAATGTTTTAAATATGTTCATTTACATTTATGTATATGATGTCGGTTTCTGGGAGTTTTTTTTTTTTATGTTTGTTTCTATATTATCCTTCAATGCAAGTTCAGAGACAGTTTTTAATTGTTAGAGAACATGGTGAAATTGGTTCCTACTCTTGTGTTTGATGTGTCCTGAAATCTGCGAAGGACTTCAGTCTCAAATGAAATGACTTCTGGTAGCAAGTCAGAAAAAACTATGTAATTAGCTTGGAACTAGCATTAGATACCAGCTATTAAGTGTTTTTTTTCCCTCTCTCTCTATTTTTATGCATGTAAACAGAAATCTGCTCCCAAATCGTAGCTGCACTGGTTCAAGTTACAAGCTCTCAAAAGTGAAAGTAAAGTTATTCCTGCAGTTTCAGCTGTGTTTCAGTTATGAAGGTGAGCTCGAGCTGGCTTGGGATCTCTGACATTACAAGTGAAATTTCCAAATGTAATGAACATTCAACTCCATTTTTCAGATGGGGAACTAGAAATTATGACATTAGAAAAAGCTGTTGGGTTCCATTTGTTACAATTGGAGTATTTTTGGATGTCCACCTCACAGATCTTCATGATCTCCATTTATAAACTATAAAAGTAGAGATCTTTGGCAAAAATTGTAAACTTTAGCTTTTTGTTCTATTAAAGAAAAATGGGATTTTCAGGAAGTGCAGCGGTGTAGTCATAACTTCACCTGTTAGAAGTAAAACTAGTTTGGAGCACACAGAGAAGAAAGAAAACAAGATTTGGGGTTGTTTGTGGAATATATGAGGTGTGTCTTTATTTTATTTTATTTTTTACCGGTTTAAATGTGGCGACAGACACATCATATTGTCAGTGTTCAGGTACGTAATTGAGACATTTTTCTTTCGCTGTGAGCAGGCCAAAAACCATTGGGTAGCAGGTTGATTCCATTTTTTTTTTTTACTTTGTTATACACTGGAACCAATAACCTTAATAGATTTCCTAAGAAAAGGTCACCTCAAACCACTATTTGTGGCCTGAAACCTTTTATTACTTTTGTCAAAGTCGGTTGTAATTATTCAGCAGAAATGAGACTTTGATTGCTGTCCTTACTTCTTTTTTTTTTTTCTTGCCATGTTTTTTATAATAATGTTGTGGTATATAATTTGTTGGGTTTTTTAGAAAGGGGATTCTTAAATTTGGAACTACTGAGTTTTATTGTTTCCACACTTTTTCACTTGCTGAGAAAACAGAATCGTTTGGGACATTTTGCATTACTTTTGATTTTATTTTGTCAGATGAGATATTCTCAGTGCTTTACTTCTTTCTTTTTTTATTGTATGCTGTATATTTTGTGGTACACTGTTTGTGATGTGTTGATGTATCTTATTTTTACTTTTTTTCAGCTGTTTAGAATTTATAGTGAAACAAAAAAAAAACCTCAAGAAAGCCAATCACACCCCAATACTCTGTGGTTTTATTTACCTGTTCAATACTCCGAGTTGATTGTGGTTTTATAACTATAGACACAGTTACATACAAATTCAGTGTCTATGCCGTGAAAGCCACATAACGTTATACCTGAAGTACAGATGCATATTAATAGATGAAGACCATTTGTAGACCAATCACTTATATTAATTTTGGGTATTACTATCTTAAATTTAACATTTTGTCCACTTTAAATGAACCAGAGTTTGTTTCCCCTGTTGGTTCAGACCTCTTGTGCAGGTGTGAATAGACTCAAGTAAACCTTTTCGTAGACCACCGCTCACTTTTTGAGGTGGTCCCGGTCCACTTCCAAACAAACTCTGGTGCTTCTGGTGTGAATACAGACTGGCCTTGATACAAACCAATTACAAGAAATATATATTTTTGAACTTCATGAGCCATTGTTGGTGGGCATCTTGGTAAAAATCAGGGCTTCAGTGTTGCCAACATTACTACTCGATGTACTAATTGTACTGAAATCGTACCTGATTCAGTTTTCTCCTTAACGATGCTGCTGTCATCATGTTGTAGATCAGAACATGCAGAGCATCCGATCTCATTCCGCATGCAGCACACATTTGCAGACACTGTTTCAAAATGAGGAAAATCACATTGCAAAATCAGTGTTGTATGAGCTGCTCTTGAAATTCAAAATTATATTTAAGTTGCAATGAAAACACAAATGTGCATGACAGAAATGCAGAGTGCAAGATTTACAAAGTTTCTTTTTTTCCTGTCTGTGCTCTCTCATGGCCACGTAATCAGTGAGAGCAATGATATCTGTTTCGTTTACAAATTATAGTCCATCTGCAAAACGTACAATGTGGGAGCAAACTGCAATAAAAAAGAAAAGCTTGCCAAACTCATTCCTTCCTTGCAACTTTCCATTAAAATGTACAGTGAAATACAACCCATTTTGCTGGCACTTATACATGCACATAATTTTTCAGCAACTATCTTCAACTTAATTGCCAAGTCAGGAGCATTACAGTAGCTGAATGGGCCTTAAAATTAATTTTTTATATGAAAAATCATTTTTATTTCTATTACATCGTCTTCCAATTTTCTGATAATTTAAATTGAGCGAATACTATATGCAAACTACAACAATTTTGTCAAAATATATCACTAAATCTATGCGTTTCAATTTTTTTAATTAAAAAAAAAGATTCAATAATATTCTTGCATAACATTCATCATTCCAGAAGGTCTGTCCTGCCAACACCCACCATGATCTCTGATAACTCTTATGGTTACAACAAAATTTAATTTCCCTTTGGGATGAATAAAGTATGTTTGAATTTATTTTAATATTAACATGCACCTGTATGCACACTGCATTCACATGCCAGCCATCAAATCCCTCTTGATGTAATTCAGTTTGTGTTTTCATTTGCTTTTTTGAAAAAATATATCTTAATTGCATTTCCATCATCCACCACATTTTAATATCTTTGATTTAACAACATTATGCAAATCTTTATGTTCTTTGACTGATCTCATGATTTATTCTGACAGAATGGAAAAATGGAGGAACACGTTTTGCATCTGTGATGCGTTTATGGATTTTCTTTCTGCTAAATTTTATGATGCTGGTTGCTTTCATCACACCATTGTTTCTTGAAATTAATTCCATCAATCATGAGCAAATTTCTCAGTTGCTTTGCGCATAGATCAGTACAGGTCAGGATGACGTTTGGAAAACATAACTTGCCTCCCAATCTGATGCTTCCTTCAAAAGCAACAGTAATCTCTACACAAAATGAACAAAATCTTCAGAACTTTGAAATTGTATTTAATATTTGTAGCTTCTAATTTTGTACCAGAACAGTGAGACTTACCCAAAACCTTCATATGCAGCTTATACACACATACATTACACCCAATATGAGAAAATATATTCAGTTTAGACTTTACTTCAATTGTCTGTTAGAGTCGAAAGGATGAGGCAAACGAAGAATTGAGTCCACATGATTTAATTTAAATTGGATCTTCTCTAATCCACTCTAGGTGAGAAC